TGTTTTCGTGATGCACATTTTCTTTGCATAAAACTCTCTCTTATATGTGAGTTGCTGTGGATTTGTTTCTCCAAAGTACCCAGACTAATACACCCAATATTTGCTTGCATGGATTAGGAATATGATCAAATGAAAAGCCCTTAAGGCTGTGAGTCATGGTCAACTCAATGGCAGTCAGTTGGACGGGTGATTCAGAGAACAGTGTTCTTTCAAATCCATTGTGACTCAGGTGTGTTTCTTCTATAGAATCATGAATTATAGATGGGATTTAGAGAGCACTATTATTATTAGCCATACCACTAACTTCATTGTACTGTTGGGAAAATTGAGGCATTGGGTTGTGGGAATACATTTTTCAAGATGATATAGTTTACTGATCATAGAATTCCTGCTCATTAGTCTAGAGATGCTTCCTCCACACCTCACTACTTCTAGCCTCACCTCAATCTTGATTTTGGGTGGCCTTGGTCAGGACAGATTGTGAAGTTATCTACACCATTAATTGCAGCCCTGTGCTCTCTTTAATATGTTTCCTTTCTTTTATTCTGCCCCTTCCAGAACCCTCATGAAGATCCAGCCCCAAATCAGTATTGAGCCCCTCCTATGAATCAATCCTGGAAGAAGTATAGCCAGAATGCTCCTTAGAAGCAAGACTGGTAAGACTCTCTTATATATTTTGGACATGTTATCAAAAGAGACCAGTCCCTGGAAAAAGACATTAAGCTTGGTAAAGTAGTAGGGCAGTGTGGGAGTTACATAATCTGTTGTCCATTTGAGACAATTATGAGTGAAGGGGTGGAGTTTAGCCTGTCAATCAGGTCATAGCTTGATGGCTCATTTGGAGGCGCTAAAGAGATAAATAGCTCTGGAGGATAGACACATGCTCACTCCCTGAGAGACATTACTGATGATGAGCCTAATGGAGCTATGCTGATGCAGCCAGAGCCCTGGAGCTGGAGGAGCCATGTGGAGAACCACGCCAGTGCTGAGAAGCTTCCACCACCACTGGATCCACAAGACTTTCCAAACACTGGCCTGTGAGCTTCCTGCATTCAGCATCATTGCATGGCTGCATGAGTCTAAAGAGGAATTTATGGACTACTATTGACATATGGGGTAATATCAAACTTATGGGCTTGATCTCGACTGGGCTTTGATGTTTTCTTAGTGTGCAATTTTTCTGGGATAAAAATCTCTCTCTTATACACATATGAGTGTCTATATGAATTTGTTTCTTTAGTCTACCCAGATTAACACAGGCAGCAAAAAAGAGGAGGACATGAAGGAGATGCATTGACACATTGGCTGAAACAAGGAGCTTAAACATAAAAACAATTGTAAGGATGATGCGGGATTGGCTGCAGTTTGCTCTGTTGTACATGAGTTAGAACACACTGGATGGTACCTAACAATTACCACAGCCCCTTGCTCGGCCTCCAGACAGCATTGCTGTTACAGCCGGGAACTCCCGGGCTTCTGGAATTTGTCCTTCGGAAGAGGATTTTGGTGGCAACAGCTCACAGTCAGGATTCTGTTTATTTTTACTGTCTCCTATATGAGAGAGAGACAGAAATGGCTGCAAAGTACATTTGAGCAAAGACATCCTAGAGATTGCTCTGCTTTATAGGCTAATCCCTTGGTGGTTAACTGCTGTGGTAGATACTGTTACTATCTATCAGATGATAATGTTTGCATACAATTTACTTTACAAAGTTATAGCAAACCCAAGGTTATTTTTAAACTCGGCAGTTTCCCTCTGTGAAGTTCTGATATACTGACTTGAGAAGAAAGGGAAAAAAGAAATCAAAGTTCAAATATGATGTCTATAGTAAAATTTATATAGCCATCCATCCACATACCTTCATCTCTCCATCTTTATACACATCCATCATATGTCATATATATCCAAAAAACATTTACTAATCAGTTGTGTATCAGATAGCACAACTTGACATCATCTTGGATTTGAATAGCCCTTTGGAATTTTCATAACTTTTTTTTCATACATCAGCTTAAATTTGATTTTCAAAATCATGAAGTGGAGGGCAGGGTGAGACACTAAGAAGAACAAGATTCCATCGTTGTCACTATAGACATACAGTCTCTTGCAACTACAGTATAACTTGGTTAAGGCAGCCCAGCCAGAATGTGCCCAACCTCTGACCTTCTCCCACTGTAGTGGGCATCCCACTGAAGGAACCGGCCCTTGCTTAATTTAACAAGCCATACATGTTCATCTGCAGTTTTGATTATTTAATTCTCCTGTGATTTCAGTCATCTTTTACTCTTTAAATGTCCAGTTTTCTACTCTGTATATATTGCTAATTTTGACCATATTCGGGACTGTTTGCAAGTCTCTTTTTGGATCTTGTACCTGGGTCCAGTGTAATTGCTGGCTTAGTGTGCCCTCAGTGCCCTCAGTTGAGACTCCCTCCCTCCCTCCCTCCCACTAATGGTGCCTTGCCCAGGCAACCTGGGCATCCCTACCTAGGGAGGAGCAAGTACTCTTGCCTCTTTCGTGCCAGCTTCTCTCCTCCCTCTTCCACCAACAATTCACAGTACAATTTTGTTTGCTAAAACTCCGGTTGGGCTGCTAACCACAAGGTCTGCAGTTACAAACCACCAGCCACTCCACGAGAGAAAGATGAGGCTTTCGGCTCCTGTCAAGATTTAGTCCTAGAAACCCACAGGGGCAGTTCTACTCTGCCCTATATGGTCCCTGTGAATCAGAATTGACTCAAAAGCAGTGAATTTATGTGGAGGCGGTCTTCTGGGGGTAGCGTAGTGGTTACGTGTTGGGCTGCTAACCACAAGGTCATCAGTTCAAAAGCACCAGCCACGCTGGGAGAAAGACAGCACTTTCTACTCTCAAAAAGAGTTAAAGTCTCAGAAACCCAGGGCAGTTCTACCCCGTCCAATAACATCGCATTGAGTTGGAATCAACTTGATGCAGTGGGGTTGGCTTTTGTTTGATCCAGAATGCCGTATCTAACTTTGACTGAGCGATGGCACCGACAGCAGATGACTCGTGTGGTTCCTTGCACCCTGCTCCTCACCTGCCCCCCATGAGCGCTTTTCCCAATCCCAGATCAGGAAGTCAGATTTGTTCGCATGCTTTTGCTTTGCTGTTTCATGTCTAGCACCCACTTTTCTATCGACCTAGTAGTCCTTCCACCTTGCATGAAACCAGTTCCCTGTTCTCCATCCCTTTCGTGTCTGGAAAATCTATCTAGAACTTTGATTTCCGCCTTACTCTTCTCTGCCAGCAGTTTATTCCACCAGGCTCCTTAACTCCTCCTTTCCTGTTACCGTGGACCTATTTTCTATTTCTGTCTTCTATGATTTTGTCATTGGCAGCACGTTCTGGATTCCCCAGTCTACCTTTTACTTTCGCCATTGTGCCCGTTTCAGCAAAGCTGCGTTATAATGAGGAGGGAAACCTAGGAGGAAAAAAGTCCCGGATGAATGACAGCAGGCACTTGCTGTGTCTTCAGTTTAGATTACGTCCCCGCCTGCCAGCTGTCCCCATGATTCCCCAGTTGAATGCAGCTTCCATCACAGGGAGGTCTGTGTCCTCCCCGGGCCAGGCTACTGCTGGCATGTCTCACTTAGCGATTCTCCAGCTGATGAGAATGGATTAAGAACAGGTGGCCAGCTTCCTCTGCCCAGAGACAGGAAGAAAGGTTGAATGGGGGAAAAAATTGAAGTCCTTTTCAGAATTCGAAGTTAAATGAATCTCAGATTCTAAATTGTAATCTGCAACAGACGAATGAAGAACTGTCTCTAATAGTGGATCCAAATAACTGGGATTTCCGTTCTGGAAACCTGGGCTCTATTTCCAGCTCTGTTGCTAACCCACTGTGTAGGGATTTGTAGCAAATCAGTTCCCCTTTCTAAGACTTGTAATACTCTGCCTGCCAGTCTCTGTCCAGCTCTACAATTCTCAATCAGGAAATAGCTTCCATCCCTTTCCGGGTTTAATCGTGGCTACTTATTATGCCCTTTCCATCTCTTCCTTTCTGTCTTGTTCTCATGCGTGCACACACCTTCACAAATGAAAACGCTAAGAATGAATTACACCAGAGCATTAAAACTATCCAAGGCCCCGTTGGACAGCGGCAATGAGAGGAATGCCCAGCGGAGATCGCAAACAGAAAACTAATAACGAAATGGAAAACTCACACCCTAACATACCTGTAATTACATTAAGTATCATTACGGCTAATGGGCCAGATTTGGTCTGTGGCTCGTTGTTGTTTGGCTGAAGACTAAGGATTTTTCTTTTTCATTTTTAAACATTGTATTTTGAGATCATTGTAAATTCACATCCAGGTGTAAAGAAGACTAAAACAAGCCTGTAGACCTCATTCAACTTCCCTCAATGGTAGCTTGTATATTTCAAGGAGGGATGTTGACATTGTTGCAATCTACTCACATTATATAGATTTATTCAGTTTTACATGTACTTGCATATGTGTGTGGATTTGGTTTTATGCAATTTTATCATGTGTCAATTCATGTGACAATTAAGAGATAGGACAGTCCTGTTACAAGCTAACCTTTTATAGCCGTAACTCCTCTCTCTGTGAACCCTGAAAACCACAGGTCCATTCCCCATTTCGATAGTTTCCTCATTTTGAGAAGTGCATCTAACTGAAACCACAGAGCATCTGATACAACCTTTTGAACTTGGCTTTATTTCACTGTCATAAAATCGCTGGACGTCTGTCTAAGTTGCTGTGAGTATCCATAATTTGCTCCTTCTTACTGCCGGGTAGTTTCCCCTGTGTTGGATGCATCGCAGCTTGTTTAGCCTCTCACCCATGGAAAACCTTTGGGTTTCCAGTTTTAGGCCATTTCAAATTCAACTATTATGAGTAAGTGTATGTGAATGTAAATTTTCATTTCTCTGAGGTATAAATGCCCAAGAGTACACACATGGGATCATTGGTTATTGTATGTTTAGTTTTTATTTTGTTTTGTTTCCTAGTGGCTGTACCAACAACAGATCGTGTGATCAGGTTTCTCTGCATCTTCACCACCGTTTGATATTTTCACCATATTTCAGGTAAGCCATTCTGATAGGGTTTTGCTGTTTTCAGATGCTGTCAGCTAATACTCATACAACCCTATATGACAGACTAGAACTGCCCCACAGAGTTTTTCAAGCTATCGTTTTGATAGGTCTTGCCCTCACAGAGTTGCTGGGTGGGTTCAAACTGCCAACCTTTTGATTAGTCGGTGCATCCCGTTGCACCAACTGGGCTCCTTAATGAGTGTATAAACTCAAAACCTGAACTCACGGCCCTTGCGTTTATTCAAACTGTTAGCAACTCTGTAGGACAGAGTAGAATTTCATAGAGCTTCTGAAGCTGTACATTTTTATGGAAAAAGAGTGCCTCGTTTTTCTCCTGTGATGTTTAGGTTAGCAGCCCAATGCTTAACCCAGAGCACCACCAGGGCACTGAATAATGTATACTGTTCTTAGGTGCCACTGACTGGCTCTGACTCAGTGACCCTACCTACAATAGAAGGAGCCACTCTCCTGTCTGAGCTATCTCACGATTGTTACTGTGTTTGCACCTATTGTTGCAGTGCAATCCATCTTCCCGAGGGTCCTTATCTTTTTTGTTGAGCTTCACTTTACCAAAAGTGAGGCCCTTCTCCAAGGAGTGGTCTCTCCTGATCACATTTCCAAAATACGTAAGGCAAGTTCCTATCATCTTTGCTTCTAAGGAGTCTCCTGGCTGTACATTCTCCCAAAGAGGTGGCCCATCGTACTTTGAATAATTTTTGCCAACACCATCGTTCAAATACGTTCATTCTTCTGGGTCTTTCTTATTCATTGTCCAGGTTTATATGCAAATGAGGTGATTGAAATATGCTGGCTTGAGTCAGGCTCCCCTTATTTCTCACGGTGATATCTTTCCTCCTCAGCACTTTAAAGATCTTGGGCAGCAGAGTCTCCTTTGCAGTATGTTGTCTGATTTCTTGACTACTTCGATGATGCTGATTTTGGATCCAAGTAAAATGAACTCCTTGGCCACTCCAAAATTTTCACCATTTATCATGATGTCCATTAGTTCCATTGTGAGCGTTTTTGTTTTCTCTACACACATCGCAACCCACCCTGAATACTCTAGTCTTTGATAGTCATCAGTAATTACCTCACTTTCAAGCAAGGTCGGATCATCAGCATATCTCAGGTTGTTAGTGCGCCTTTCTCCAGCCATAATGCTGCGTCTTTCTTCACATAATCCAGCTTCTCCAATGATTTACTCCACAGACAGATTGAATAAACATTAGGAAAGGGTACAACCCTGATGCACACCTTCCTTGATTTGAAACCATGTGGTGTCCTCTTGTTCCATTTGAACAACTCTCATTCTGTGTACAAGTTCTACATGAGACAACCAAGTGTTCCAAAATTCCCATTCTTCACATTGTTATCCATAGTTTGTTATCCACTTAGCTGAATGCCTTTGCCGAGTAAATACAAGTACACCTCTTTATGCTATTTTCTGCTTTTAGCCAAAAAAATCCATCTGACATGAGCAATGGTATCCCCCAATCCATGGCCTTTTCCGAATCCAGCTTGAATTTGGAGCAGCTCTCTGTGAATGTCCTTCTGCAACCATTGCTGGATGAACTTCATCAAAATTTTACTTCATGTGATATTAATTACATTGTTTGATAACTGGATTTCATATACAGAAAAACATGCAAAAAACCCCTACAGTGACAAATTAACACACAGAAAATCCTCAATTGAAATGAAAGCAGAAAATAATAAAAAAACTAGAACAAATTAAGAACAGGTCAAAAGGGAGAACAAATGATAATGTTGCATTTTAAGCTAACTACATCTGCATTAAGTCACTTTCCAATGCGTTGTTGGATAACAAGACTGTTCACATCCCTGGTTAATACTTTCAAAGAACCTACTTCTTGTCTTCCTGGTTTTTCCCCTATTGTTTTTCTGTTTTCCAATTTGTTTGTTTCTATTCTACTTATCATGATTTCATTCTCCTATTTCTTTAGGGTGTATCTGGTTGTTCTTATTGTAGGTGCTGGAGGTGTTTTGTAAAGGTATTGTTTGGGGATTTCTCCTCTTTTTTTCATGTGTGAATTGATTGCTATAAATTGCCCTCTGATTACCACTTTTGCTGTGTCCCAGTTTTCGTATGTTGCATTATCGTTCTCATTTGTTTCAAGGAATTATTTAATTTAATCTCTTAATTCATCTACGGAACAGTAGTTTTTAAGTAGTATTTTATTCAGTCCCCATGCATTTGGCTTCATGTTATTGTTCTTTCCATGTTGATTTCTAGGTTTATAGCACTATGCTCTGAGAAAATGGACTGTAGTGTGTCAATGTTTTTGAATTTTTTAAGGCTTGATCTGTGGCCTAATATACGATCTGTTCTAGAGTATGTACCATATGTACTGGAGAAGACTGCATACTGTTCTGCTTACGGGTGGAATGCTTTGTTTATGTCTAGGAGTTGGTGCTGCTTGATTGGGTTGCTCAGTTCTTTTGTTTTGGGTTTTTTGAGGTTTTTTTTAATTGATGTTCTTTCTGATTATCTGCTTTTCCTTGCGAGTGGTGGCTTGAAGTCACTATTATTGTCTAGCCCTCTATTTATTTCTTCAACTCTGTGAGGGTTTCATTGATGTATTTTGAGATCTTTCATTGGGCATGTGTATGCTAACTATGGTTATATCTTTTAATTTTATCATTGCTTTAATCATTATGTAGTGTCCATTCTTGTTTCACATTATGCTATTTGGCTTGATGTCTATTTTATCAGAGTTTAATATTGCCACTCTTTCTTTTTCATGGTTGCCAATTGTGTTAGCCTGGGTAGACTAGGGAAACAAATCCAGAGAGACTCATATGTATGGAAAAAAGAGCTTTATATAAAGAGTAATTGTACATCAAGGAAACATCCCAGATCAAGTCCACAAGTCCAATATTAGCCCATATGTCTGATACCAATCTACAAAGTCCTCTTCAGAAGACTCATGAAATACATGCAATGACGCCAAATGCAGGAAGTTCACAGGCCAGTGAGTGGGAAGTTTTGTGGATCCAATGCCTTTGTAATCATCTCAGCACTGTCAGGGGTCTTCACGTGACTTCTCCAACTCAGGGCACCAAGTAGCTCCATGTGTCTTGTCAGCTGCAATGTCTTCTAGGGAGTGAGCATGTGTCCTACCTCAAATGAGCTATTTATCTCCTTAGCACCTCCAAATGAGGTCATCAAGCTGCCACCTGATTGACAGGTAAACTCCACCCCTTCACTTGTAAGTCTCAGATTGACAACAGATCATGTAATTACCACATCAATTTTCTCTATTCTTTGGTTTTTAGTCTATTTTTTTCTTTGAGTTTAAGATGTGTCTCTTGTAGGCAGCATGCAGGTGGGTGTTGTTTTGTAATCTATCTGCCACTCTCTTTCTTTTGATTGGTCCATTTAATCCATTGATATTCAGTGTCATTACTGATATATGCAAGCTTGTTGCTGTCATCATGCTCTGTATGTGTGTTTTTGTGGTGTGTGTGTGTTTGTGTTTGTTCCACCTCTGTTTCTGTGGAAATTTCTCTATTTGTCTATTTCTCTTTTGGGTTCTGTTTCTGATGTGTTGGTTTCTTAGTGGTCTTGTCCTGTATGTTGCTCTCAGATTTATCTGCTGTTATTGATTCTCTGTCCATAGCGATCCCCTTAGTACTTTTGTAATGCTGGGCATGTTTTTACGAATTCCTTAAATTTTTTGGTTGTATGGAAATACCTTTATTTCTTCTTATGTTTAAGAGATACTTTAGCTATGTATAGGACTCTTAGTTGGCAAGTTTTTCCTTTCAGAATTTTATTTATGTTACTTTATTATAATCTTGCCTGCATTGTTTCTGTTGAGGAATTCAAGCTTACCCTTATCAGTTTTTCTTTATAGGTGACTGCTCTTTTTCCCCCAATGGTGTTGCGAATTCTCTCCTTTTCCTTTAAATTAGAGAGTTTGACTAACTTATATTGTGATTTTATTTCCTTTTGGGATTTATCCTATGTAGAGTTTCAAAGTTTCTTGAATAATTATTTTCTCCTCTTTTAGGGCATTTGGGAACTTTTCTTCCATAATTTCGTGTCCTATTTCCCTTGTAGAATTTATTTATTTATGTATTTTCTTGCTCTAGGATCCCAGTGAGAGGTAGGTTGTTTCTGTTGATAATGTCCCATGACATTCTCAGGCCTTCTTTGAATTCCTTTGCTTTTTATTTACTTGCTTATTTTTTGTCTTCTAACTTACTGATTTGGTTTTCCTTTTCATCTGTTCTAATTCTCATATCTTTTACCTTGTTGTCTAATTCTGTTATCTTATTATTTTCTGGAATTCTTTATGATGAGGGTTTCTCGTTTTAAAAATCCTTTCATTGTTCTCATAAGCATTACCCACATCTCTTGAAGGCATTTAAACACTATTCTTCTGAATTCTATTTATAATAATTCCAGGATCTATTTTTCAGAGTATTCCATTAGGCTTGAATGATTTTTAATTATTTGTGTTTCAATTTTATTTATTTTTGGCAATGGTTCTCAACCTTCCTAATGCCGCGGCCCTTTAATACATTTCCTCATGTTGTG